AGTTCAGGTCCAGGACAGCCAGGGCAACAAACAGAAACCCCAAATCAAAAAAAAAAAAAAAAAAAAAAAAAAAGATAGCTAAAGATAAAGGGAAGCTAAAGCTATCCCAACAGGGGGCTAATGATATCACCAAAGGAGGCTAGCCATGTGACTCAGCAGTTGAGAGTAATTACTTGATGAGCGTCAGACGTGGGCTCCTCCAGGGATGTGATTTATTAAAGTGAGAAGGTCGCAAAGTCAGGGAGGATTCAAGGTGGGATGGAAGTGTTACAGGATATATATATATGAACCTGTTTTTAGTTAGGGTGTGGCTCAGCCCTTAGCCCACTCCTTTAATTCCCCTGGTTGGAATACAGACATGCTCTTAGTACACACCTTTAATCCCAAACAATGAAGGTAAAGTCAGTTTGTAGAAGGAAGCACCCTTGTTTGAAAGTGATGTCTAATTGAGTGGCAAAATGATCTGATCAATCAGAGAAAGATTTGACAGAATAGGATCTGCTCAACTCCCATGAAAAGAGAGAGGAAAGGGAAGGTACTTAAGGGAGAGACAGACAGCACAGGAGGAAGAGAGTACAGTCCAGGAGTACAGTAGAGTCCATGGAGACTTGTCCAGTAGAGTTGAGAAGAAGACAGTACAGAGAGAGAAGGAGGCAGTTTTACCAGGAGATTTTTACAGAGACAGATTGAAGAGAGAACAAGCTAGACACAGGCAAAGACAGAACAAGTCAGAGAATGAGAAGGAGCCAGAAGATTAGAAAAGATTGCTAGAGTTAGTCTGAGGCCAAGCAGAGTCATTCAGAGGCTGGGAAAAGCCAAACTGAATCTGTCAGCTGGGAGAGGAGTCTAAGCCAGAACAGCTGAGTTGAACCAGCCAGCCAGAGCTCAGAAAGAACAAGAAAGGGTGAGCTTATTCAGCAGGAAGTCTCAGAGGCTAAAAACATTCTCTGGCCTAGAAGCTTCCAGGACTAGGCCTAGGTTAGCAGAGGATTTCGTGAAATAATCCTCCAACTGCTTGTTGCTGCTTTGTGAAAATGAACCAAAAGGTCAGACGACAGCTTAAACTGGTCACTGAGCAAAAGTGCAAACTGAGGGCCACAAGCACAATTAGCCATCCATTCCTGGCCCAACAACAAGAAGATAAATTCGGGCCATTAGTTCAGTTACCTTTCTCCTATCTCAAACACCCATCCTAAGTTGTGGGCCACACAAACTAGTCCTTCACCAGCCTAAAGTTAAAAACCAACAATAATAAAATATGCTAAGTTATTTTTTTCCATGCTTAGTCACTGTCCTATTGGTGTGAAAAGACAGAATGACCAAGGCAACTCTTACAAAGGAAATTATTTAACTGAGGCTTCCTTATAGTTTCTGAGGGTTAGTCGGTCAGTCTATTATCATCATGCAGAGAGCATGGTGGCAGGCAGGCAGGTACTGGAGCAGGACTTGAGAACTACATCCTCATCTGTAGCTCTCCTAGCAAAAGAGTTCATTCAACTCCCTGTTCTGAGCATTCAAATACATGAGCCTAGGGGAAATATTTTTATTCAAACTACTGTACATGGCTGGTTGGAGAAGATGGGGTACAGTTCTTTCACCCAAGGCTCATGCCATCTTGGGAAGAATACAGTTATGGTTAAAAGTCCTGTTCTTTATTCTCTCTGGTGTGCATACCTCCAAGCATGTGTGTGCCTGTACGCATGCAGGCATGCATGTGTGTGTGTATGTGTGTGTGTGTGTGTGTGTGTGTGTGTGTGTGTCTGAGGTTGATACCTTCCTGATCCTTCATTCATGTTCTGCCTGATATTTTGAGACATGGCCTCTCACTGAACCTTGTCATCACAGATTTGATGAGGTTATGATAGGAGAGTAGAAACTTAAAGTGGAATGGAAATTAACACGTGAAAGAAGCCAGATCACGAAGGAAACCCGGGAACCCTTTCTTACCTTGATTGGACATCATCTAACAGAGCAAGTGTAAAGGACCACACACATAACATGGCCAGGCGCTTTATGGGCTCTGACCTTGGTTCAGCACCTCACTTCCACTTCCACTTTTAGAGTGCTCTTTCTTTTCCCATTTTTTTTTTTTGATCCCCCTGCCTCTGCTTGGGACTAAAGGCATGCGCCACCACACCTAACTTGCATTTCTTTTTCCTTTCTGATTGATTGATTGATTGATAGATGAATGGATGTATACCAGTGCCCTATCTGCGTGCACACCTACATGCCAGAGGAGGGCATCAGATCACACTATAGATGGT